GCAGAAAAGGAGAGAGAGAAACAGAAAGAGAGAAGAGGGAAAAAAGAGAGAGAAAGAGAAACAGAAGAGAGAGACAGAGAGAGAGAGAGAGAGAGAGAGAGAGAGAGAGAGAGAGAGAGAGAGAGAAAGAAAAGTGAGTTAATGATGAAACATAGTGGAGAATAAACCAGGTCTATAAAGGGAGAAATAACTGCTGGGGCTTTAGGTTCTTCAGCAATTAGCACGAACGTGCCGCTTACATTTGTTCATCACTCTCCAACACTCCTCTCCATGCACAAAACCTATATTCTGTATTCCGGCCAACAATGGGAGGTTTAATGTGCAGGCTTACCAGGGCTTTTATTTTATTTTATTTATTTATTTTTACCCTTAACCTGCTCACTCATATACACCAATAATTATCTTTTTAAATATGTAATTCATATCTGTGACTGTTGATTGGCCAATTTATTTAATTCAAAAGCTCAGATGCTGACTGATGGCTGCATACAACATAGTGTTGTAACGGCAGTGTTAGGAACTTTGCAAAATATATGAAAGCAGAGCTCAAAAATGAAATGCTCAAAAAGAAAAAAAAGTGCAAGAGCAGATTTTGATGAAAAAGATTCCCAAAATAATTTTTGGTATTTTTTAATTCACTACCATTACAGCTGGCCCACCAGTTTGCTCCTATAGCCAAGATGCAACGTTAGCAGTAAGGCCAATTTATAGAAATACATCTGCACATTTCTACACATCACCTGTGATTGGCTGCTTCCAAAACTACCAAGAATGCTTGGGAACGACGAGAAGAGAAAAGAAAGTGAGAGTGGCGAACAGCACATATTCTAGAAAACGCAAATACATTGGATAAAATGCTGTTCACTGCTAAATTAGGTTAACCACAAAACTAGCCGTGTTTATGAATAGAAAATGACTAACTTTAATGAGCGGTTAAACTATAGGGTCCAACTTATTCTGTCTAAATGACGAAGCTGAAGTCAGTTTCTAATATGCCAGCTTTAATGTTTGTTTGAATTTTCCCGTTCCACCTTAAAAGAGGCAGCAGTTACAGCAGTAGCCTCAGGCGCCAGAATTGCTGCATCATTTAGGGTGGAACTGGGAAATTCGAACAAGAAGCTGGTGAATAAGAAGCCAACTTCAACAATTGTAGTCTGTGGAAGTTATTAAACCAGACGGGACATGTAAATAAACGTGAGCTAAACTAGTATCTAACATAACAAAGTTATCTATCTTCTCTTTCAAACGTGTAGTGTGTGTGTTGTGGCACTATTTTGTTAGAGTGCAGTGCGCATTGAGATGATGTGAGATATTATTCACTTCTCTAAAAAGAGCTCCAGTACAGTTATGAGTAACACGCTCAGTAACATGTTCAGATGCTCCTGCGTGCAGTCTGGGTAATCATTAAATTCTTTAAATAATAATCCAACAGATGTTTTTGTGATTGTATCGCTACAGTGTGAAATCCCAAAGTTGCAAGTTTATTTTAAACTGGAATATGTCATGTTATCTTGGTGACTCTTAAATAACTACCCATAACAAACATTGGGGAAAATCTTTGTTATATATTTCTGAAGAAAAAAAGGAATGTCGGCTGATATATCAGATATATCAGATTTTGAAATCCTCAAATATCAAAAGCGGTATCGATCTTAAAAACCTATATCGTTCAGGCTCTCGTCCAGTGTGTGGTAATATTAGTCATCAATTCTGCTGATTGCTTGCTGTTTGACTACCTCTTTCCATGCTTACTAAAGTGTGTGTAACTTGTGCCGTGTTGCTTTATACTGATTTTATGAATTTTAACTAGACCTCCTCTTATCCAGAGCAACTTATAAAGGCAACAGGCAACGTGGCATTAGTCTTGCCCAAGGACTTATGGAAAAGAATGGAAATGCCCATTCAGTTGTGATTATATATGCGTCAGTGCATGCACAAGGAAAAATGGGGCCCTCAATGATAGGTTCTAATTTCTAGCCATAACTTCAATAGGAGATTGATAAAATACATACATTTTCTCATACATAAACAATACATTGACTATTGATATACTTTCCTTATAATACTTCCTACATGTTTAAACAGTTAAAGGGGAGTCAATACAAGCCTGAATTACATAAATATTCTACCATCCCCCTTTTGTGGCCTACTGCTATCTCTCAGCACACACATACACAGTGTCATTCTCTGTAACTAACCCCTCTCACTATTACTGCATTGATTTTGTATTCTTTAATCTACTGTAACATGCTGTCTCCAAACTGCAAATCAATGTGATTTCAACACTAACGCAGCAATAGCAGAACAATTAAGCAGTGAGACAGAAAGCAACACAGAACAGCAGTGTGAGCACGACAGAGAGAGAGTGAGGGAGAGAAGCAGACGTCCTGCATTGATTCAGTCAGCCTATCTAGTCCAACTACAGGTACACACCATTTATCACATGCGTATACATACATTTGTGTGTTTGTGTAAGACAGCTGAAAAAGTCAATGGGAAAAGAGAGAGAGAGAAAATAAGAGAGGGAGGGGGAACAGAAAAAGAGAGACCGAAAGAGAGGAGAGAATAAGAGAGGGAGAATAAGGGAGAGAGTGAGAGAAAGACAGAAAAAGAGAGAGAGGAGAAAGAGAAAATGAGAAAGAGAGACAAGACTATTTAGAGAGAATATAAGAGAGAGAAACAAGAGAAAGGGGTAGAGATAAAGAAGAAAAAGAGAGAGAGGGAGAAAGAGGAGAAAGAAAAAAGGAAAGAATGAGAATCAGAAAAGGGTGAGAGAGAAAGAGAGAGGAAAGAATGAGAGGGAAAATAAAGGAGAGAGTGAGAGAAAGAATAAGAGAGAGAAGAGAGAAAGAAGGAAAAACAGAGAGAGAAAACAAGAGAGAGGAGAAAGGAAAAGTGAGAGAGAGAATAAGAAAGAGAGACAAGAGAGAGAAGTAGAGATAAAGAAGAGAAAGAGAGTAAGAGGGAGAAAGAGGAGAAAGAAAATGAGAAAGGGAGAGAATAAGAAAGTGGAGAGGGAGAAAGAGAGAGGAGAGAATGAGAGGGAGAATGAAAGAGACAGTAAAAGAAAGAATAAGAGAGAAAAAATAAGAAAGAGGAGAAAGGGAAAGTGAGAGAAAGTGAACAAGAGAGAGAGAGAATGAACAGAAAGAGACAAGAGAATAACAGAAAGACAAATAAGAGAAAAAAGACAAGAAAGTGAGAGAATGAGAGAGAGTAAAATACAGAAAATGAATAAGAGAATAAGCGATGAGAAAGTGTGAGAAAGAGAAAAGAGTAAGAGAGATAATAAGAGAGAATAAGACAGGCTAGAAAGTGAGAGACAGAAAGAGAGAGGATGAGAGCGATAGGATAGAGAGAATAAGAGAGAGAAACAGAAAAAGATAGAATGAGTGTATTTCTTTATATTTCCAAAAGCACTTAAACGGTCACTGTAAGGTGGTCGTAGCAGTAAGCTCGCCTCCTCACGTGATCATGACGTTTTGTTAAAGTAATTCTCCAGCACTTTTCACCCTGATCTCTATCTGCCGCATCTGTAGCTCACAGCTCATCACCACGGACACGTTTCTCCGCACTCAGTAAAGAACAGAAAACTGCTCAAACCCGTTTAAATTAGAAGCCGATCGAGTCTCTTCAGCACCTGCTCGCTGCACTCTACTGTAACTGTGCTCTGACCAACAGGTTCTCTGATTGATTCTCAGGGACAGTAATTTCCTTGTACTTAGGAAGAAGCTGAAACTGCATCGACTCACAGCACTGAAATGCTGGCTTCTATTATACATGTGCTTTAAGTCAGTGGTGTTTCTGCTCTTTTCTAAGCGGGAGGGGATTACTGTGTGATGACTGACCGTATGCTATAGACACTATACAGAGAGAGAGAGATTAGGCTGAAAACGCTGGAGTGCTCCTTTAATATATATGATTATGTAACATATCAACACAAGCGTGCAAGCAGGTTCTAGCTGTTTCCAGCAAGAAAAAAAAGCACTGAAAGCAGAACATTTAGTCAAGTCACAGAGCAAATAATACAAAAGTACGTGGAAAGATACACTGTATGGACGGAGGTGTTGTTTAATAATCGTGCGTCATTATTAATGGACGCAGCTTTTTTTCCTCCATCACTGCCTTCCACACATCTAACGGTGGCACTGCCTTAAATAGCCTCCAAAAATGTAACGTTTTAGTTTTTAACTATTCACCAAAAAAACAACAAAAACACAACGTTTTTATGTTACGTCCTGTCGCATAACCTTGAAAAATACGCGTTAATTGACGTCTTTATGTCTCTATGGGCCGTCAGGCTTCACGCTTTCTTACAAAAGAAACGTAAATAATGACACATCTTTCTTTTTTCCCCCCCGTTAAAAAATCTTGCACGAGCGCCATTGTCTTGTGTGTCGCGCGCGCGACGCAACAGCGTCTCGCTCTGCTACAAAACAAAGTGCTCCGTCCTGCTGAAGAACGATGGGGAGCAGAGACAAGACGGTGGTGGTGGGGGGGGGTTTGAGTGGGATGGTGGGATTTGTAGCGGCGGTGGTAGGGGGGGCGGTGAGGGGGTCCTAAATCATATGCATTATGTGCGCGCGGGGCTGCCCTACTTCCGCGAGCGCAAACACACACCGTGCAAAATGTGCGAGTGGGAGTGACCAGCTCGCTGTCAGCTCGTGACCCCGCTGCACGGACTGCGTTTACCGCCCTTTAAAACGGAAGAAACCAAGCAAAAGCGCCTGATTTGTCATAAACAGGATTACATGACAACGCAGATCAATACACGCACAAAAACAGATCGCGAGCCTGATGTGCGAATAAGTACACGAGAGACGAGAAATAGACCTCGTGTCCACAATGAGGCGGAGAGCAACAGTCCGTTTGGCATGTGGGAAACAGTCGTGTGACAAAAATGACGTCCAGATGCGTTTAAGCATCGTTAATATGCATCAAAGTGCCCCCCCACCCCAAAAAAGTGACGTGATAATAAAGGCTCTAAAGCCCCTCTTTACCTTTGTGCATGCCGGTGTAGCGGTCCTTCAGAACGGTGAGCTCGTGGATTTTCCCAAACTGCTCGAACAGGGGCTTGAGGTCCTTCTCCTCGAGGTTGCGCGGGATCTGTCCTATGAAAAGCTTGATGGCGTCCTGGTCTTTCATGGTGCCGCCGTCCGCGTGTATGGAAACGGCCTCGGAGCCGCTCATGGGTTTGGCGAACGTGATCTGGGCGTACTGGGGCTGCTGCGGGACGACGAGCGCTGGCGGCTGGCTCGGTGCTGCCCCCGGTCCGCTGAGGAGCGCGCTGGCGTGGGCAGGCTGGGGCTGAGGCGGAGGCGGCGGCGGAGGAGGCTGATGCTGCTGCTGCTGCTGCTGCCTTCTCGCTTCAGTCTGGGTGAATCTGGCCATTCTGAGCGGAGCGGCGCGGAGAGCAGGCAGGCGGGATAATAATAACAACATACACACACGCGCGCGCGCGCACGCACACATACACACGCGAGGACGCGCACGCGCGCAAGCGCATACGCACACGGACGCACGCACGCACGCACGCGCGCGCCGACAGAGTAAAAGCGCTCAGCTGGAAACGCGGGGGGGCTCACTTTCTATTCGACACATGTCACGCTCGGAGGCCGTACCTGATGAGGAGGGTGGGGGTTGGGGGCGTGCTGGGGGGGCAGTGTGAGAGAAGCTTGTTCAGGATGCTCAAGTGTAGCTCTCTTGCGCCGCCTGCAGGCGAACGCACGTCCCTGTTCTTTGCATACTTTAAGCGTCCAAAAGTTTGTAGACGCCGCTTTCTTTTGAAATCGAGAGTAGGCCTATTAAAGAATTCCACCGAATTTTCAAAATTTCTGCATAATTCAGTTGTTAAGATCAAAGGTGTTGGTGGAGGTCACAATGTTTACAAGGCAAATCTAGCCATTTAATTTACTATCCAAAACCACCTTGACACCCCTACTGAAAAAACACCTACACGTGTCTTCTGAGTTTTTATAAATTTGATGATGGTGAAATAATTACGGAGCCCTGCTGGTGACATCTCGTATAAACAAAAATAATGCGTGGCCGCGCCGTATTAACGCGTGGGATCGAGATTCTAATGCGTGGTCACGACTTAGGAAGGCGCGGGAATGAGATCATGCCTGATTAAGCTGTGGTCAAGGCTTATTTATCTCATTCCCACGCCTTACTAAATCGTCGCCATGACTTAGTTATCTCATTCCCATACCTTACACTACAGCTTTTATTTATGAGGGACCAGCAGGGCTCCGTAAAATAATGGCAAATCCAAAAAAAAAGAAAACTTGCCGTGGGTTGGTGGGACTATTTTTGCTTTATCATTCTGCTATGGATAGATTTTCAAAAGTAGTTTTTAGGCCAAAATGTTTTGTCAGAATTATTGTACATCAATGTCTCTGGCATCAGGCAGCATATTCTTAACCATTTCATTTAATAACTTTCTGTGAGGGAACTTTTAGAGGCACTAAACTCTTTAGACGTCTGGCTCCTATCAGCACTACTATGAACTCTGAGTCGGTAACAGAGCATTTTACACCAAACCACTCTGAATGACTTTGTTAACATCATAACCAATTGATTATACAAGAATTCTGAAAAATCAGTGGAATTCTCCTTTAATAGGCAGTTTGTTCTGCCTTTGCTACAGTAGCAGCCTCTACTCTTCTGGGCTTCACTAGATGCTGGAACCTTGCTGTGAGGGTAGGATTGCAGCCACAAGAGCATTAGTGAGGTCAGGTACTGATTCTGGATGATTAGTTCTAGATCACAATCGCAACTCCAACTCATCTCAGAGGTACAGGATGGAGCTCCGTCACTCCAGAGAATGCAGTTCCACTCCACAGCCAAATGCAGGTGGGCTTTATACCCCTCTAGCTGACACTTGGCATTGGACACAGTGACCTTAGGCTAGCTTTACATGGTGAAGCTTACATGCAACTAGTTGCGGGTTGTGAGTTGCCTGAAACAATTTCTGTGCAACCTGACAGTTACACAGAGCAATTCAAAACAAAGCTGCAGAAGTTCATTGAGGAGCGAATCTCAGTCTACCCATCCTATAACAATTTTCATCCCCTAAATCCCAAATGAATTTGAGATCTGTGTAAAACCGGGGGACATCGATAGAGGAGAAAATGAATCTGGATATCATTACTGTCCAAAGTAAAACTAGTATCTCCAAAATGGTAACTTCACAGAAGAGGGCAAAAACCTTCTTTACTTTTAATGTAAGTCAGTGTGAAGATGTTTAATTACGAGTAATTTTAGAGCATTGCTATTGGTCCATCCATGAAATGTAAAGAACAGCCATCATATTCACATGATGCAGAAAACTAAAAAAAAAACGGAGATACATGTTTTCTTCGGACAGTGACGATATATAAATCATATAATAGCATAAAGCAAGTAGATAATAGCAAGATAACAAAGAAAAATGAACAGTGGCACAAGCAGCTGTTTAAACTGCTGTTACCGTTAGCCGGTAACCAGCTAATAATGGAAATGTTCCCTTTGAGAAACTCATGTTTGTTGTTGTGGCTCAGAAAATTAACGAAATGAAAACCTACCAACCTTTTTAACTGCTCAATAAACTTCATGTCTACTGATTTTAGTGAAATGAATTGTTTTAAAGTGTTGTAGCATCAGCGCAAAAGAAGAGCCAGAGAATGCCATTTTACTGCTCGTGGAAAAGCTCTTCTATAGACCACTGAAGTCGCGTCGTAATCCTGTAGTCGGTGCCGTGCTCTTATGCTTATATAGGGAACTCTAGGTCTAAAAGTAATTTCTCTGTGAGATTTCTCTGGGAGTTTTTGAAAATTGCCTATTTTTCTCTCAAATATCACTGGATCCTCTGAATTATGAGGTTGCCAAAAAATCAAAATATTAATATTGCTACATGTAAGCTAATGCTGTTGCACACTGTATTGGCATCATTAGAGTGGCAGCTTTCTTAAAAACGCACAAACCAGCATGCTTTGCCAGTGTGGTATCCCTACAAGCTGACCAGCACTCAGGCTACAATGCCCAACATGACCAGACTGAAAGTGGTTTCCACCTCTGTTAATACTCTTTTGGGGCCATATTACAGACAATTCTTAAGTCTGAGATCATATCTTATCTGCTTTGTTGTCATGGCAACTTCAGTATAGATTGAAGTTAGGACAGAAGCCATTACAGAACAACAGTTCTTAAGTCTATAATCTGATCTTATTTCCACATGAGAAAACGGTATTACAGAAACATCCTAAGTTGCCAAAATATCCTGACACAATATTCTTAACTCTCAGTTTATCACACTTTAGTTTTATTTGACCTTTTTTACCCCAGTAACAGCAGCTACCGTTAGCTGTCTGGCTAACTAACTTGATTGCGTGTTTACGTTTCAGCTGTGTGCGTTGCTAGGTAACAGACACACTAAGGATTTCCTAACTTGAGATAAGAAAAGATGCTGTAAGATAAGTTTCCTAAATTAAAATAAGATTTGCTTCTATAATACAAATTTGTGAAAAATCTTATCTTCACCTGTCAGATATTAAGACAAAAAGATAGGAAGTTTCTCTAACACAGCCCCTGGCCATCCAATCGGTCCTACCGAGCATGCGCATATCATTATTACAGCGTAATAACTCAGTGTTTTAAATGCTTTATTGTGTCTTGAATGTTAATTCAGTACAAGCTCAGCTTAAGGTGATTTAGGCTATTAGAATACACTAATTATTCTTTTAACACCAGGAAATTTTTATTTAATAAGGACATTTACCAGCTTCTTGTTCGAATTTCCCCATTTCACCTGAGGCGTTATAACAACTGCTGCACCATTTAAGGTGGAACAGGAAAAATGGAGTGAGAAGTTGACTCCAGCTTCATAGTTTCAGTGCTGGTAGTATTGTTTTAATATGGTGATTTAAGCAATCAAAATATCCTACCTACAGTTTTATGTAGGGACCTACCTACAAATATGCGTTACGGTAGGACATTTCGACAAGGTAGCACAATTTGTCAGACCACCCACCTTACTTCCGTGTAGCCTAGTGACTTTAAATTGATGCTCAGCAGCGTTAGCTTGCACATAGCCTAAATACAGTGGTCTATTGGAAAAAAAAACAAAAAAGGCGACTGACACACTGGAAAAATAGCGGGGGTGTGGGTTGTAGGTGGGTCACCAACAGCCATACAACACCCACTAAAGATGAACACTACAACTACACTAATGAAGCCACAGCAGAGCATTGCATTTCAACTAATTAAACAACCACAATCAATGTTGTTTGGCGCGTGCAAGCGCTTCTTTGCGTGACACACGTCTTGAGCGCCCCCTGAACTGCGGAGCCCGCGGCGGACACCACGTTTAGTGTCTCACTCGTCCCGAAGTACTCCAAGTTCATCGCGGACTGCACCTGTCAAATTTACAGTCCTTAATTCCCAAGGGAATCTAAGATATGTCTAAAATTAGGGCGCCATTAGAGGACAGAATAATCTAACAAGCTCGCGCCAACAGCTGAGACAAGCAGCGGCTTAAACTAATAGCTGGCTAGCTAAGCTAGCTTAGGTAAGTTACGCCGGCCGGTTACAGAAACGTGAAATTCGAGAAACTTCGTTGTTTGTTGTTGTGCTCAGAAAGCTGACCAATTTTTAAAAAACACTAACCTTACATAACGTTAAAAAGGAGAATCTTCTTCTCAGCCGCTCAATAAACCATCTCCTGGTTAATTTTCGATCCACTAACGCCCTTAAATCACTAACGTTAGTTTCAGACGTTGTCGTTCAGCGTGAACACGTGATGCGTCATCTGCGTTTGATTGGTTGTTTCATGATATCCGCTTCACGAATTTGAGACGCTTGAATCTGGGCCATTTTATTGACCGTGCTTTTCGCTGCGTGTGAGCTATTGAACATCTGTGTCAGCAAAGAGTGCACCTTAAAATAGCTGAGTTCATTATTTTGTAGACGTGTCTGGATACTTTTAGACATCTAGTGTATGAGCCCGCGGGGTTCCATTTACAGCAGAAACATACAGAGATCGTAACAAGTTCCATTTACTCAATATGTAATATAGTTTTCTGAGAACTCTCAAATGATCATACGGAATGTGATGACCATGGGATTAGAAAGACATCAGTCCAAGAAGGTGCACAACAGACAAAGAAACAAGAAGCAGCGGTGGACCATGACGTGGCCATAAATGTCTTAACTTAGTCAGAAAACAAGGAAGAACACCTCATTAAAAACGCTAATTTCTGCTCGCGCCCATAGTGGAATCTGGGTGAACCGTTGTGAAAGTAATCAGGCGAGAACAGACTGCTGAAGTTTGGATAATTTAACTGGAAGTTTGGTTGGTAAAGTCACAAAATAATAAAGTTCCGTACTGAATGGGGACTGGACAAATATTTTTTTGTGTTGAATCTTAGCTCCCTAGTTACAATGAACATTTTCACTTTAAACCAATCTGGGATTGAATTATGCATTTTTTAAAAGATTAAATAAAAGTAAAAGTACAAATAATAAAAATAATAAAAAATAAAAATGATAAAAAAAATAACGTTTATGATCTGCAGGACTGGAAACTGTACAGAGCGGTCAGAGACGGCTTGCCAACATGTGACGTTTCACGGTAAGTGCACAGAAGTACACACGTTTTGTATGACGTAACGTGGAGTATCAACACGGCCACAGCTGTTGAATAGAAAAGTCCGCGGAATTTTAAAAATAAGAGCAACAATTCTGTGATTTATACACATTTAACCGACCTAACACGTTACGTTTTGCCATGTCGGTGAACTATGCCGCCGGATTATCTCCGTACGCGGATAAAGGCATCTGCGGGCTTCCTGAGGTAAAGCTGCCTGTTTACTTGTTAGCTAGCCAGGCAGTATTAGCTTGCATTTGTTGTAGACAATCAGGGTGGGAATGAATTTCTTCGAGGTGTGTTAATGCGTGTATCGTTACGTTAAACTGCTTCATTACAGGTATTACACCGTTGTGCTAGCTGCATCGGTTTTAGCTTCCATATGCACGTAGAATTGCTACAATGATAGCCAACTTGGCTAAGGAGTTAGCTAACTTAGTGTTTTTATGCTTGAATGGGTAGTTAGTAACGTGGGTAACGTTAAATAAGAAGCCATTCAGGTACCTGACATCTGAGTCGGTCGTATTGTCTTGTGTTCCTAATAGGCAACGTTGCTGCTAATGTTATTAGCAGTAACGCACAAAGCGTAATTCTTTAGAAAGCTTACTAGCTAAACCTTTGCCTGTTCGTCTTATAAAAAAAAATGTTGTTTTGCGCTCTGGTTAAGGAGCTCGTACCATGGAAAACCGTTTTCTCCTTTTTTTCTTTTTTTTTAAATAAGACTGGTTCCTAGCCCCGCTCCTGGAGTACCCTATTCCCTGCACATTTTGGTGTTTTCCCTGCTCCTAACACACCTAATTAACCTTCTCAACTAACTAACAAAGTCCTTACTGAGCTGAAGTGGGAGTGTTAGAGTAGGAAAACACTAAAATGTGCAGGACAGGGGTACTTCAGGACCAGGGTTGGGACCCTGTGTATTTACATTTATCCACCTGTTCAGCTTACGGTAGTTTAGCTATGTTATGCTCATTCACGTTGAAGTTCTATTAAGTTTTTCAGCTCTGAGTGCTTCTTGAGTGAGGGGAAAATACAGAGCAGCCTATCAGAACAGAGATCATTTACATATATCAATCTTAAAGGCTCAGTAACAAAAACAGCTTTTTAATTCTAAGGATAAAGAAAAGTCATGTAAAAAGAGTTATGACAGTTTTTAGTGCATAAAACCATTCAACCATAGTAAGTGGATCCAAACTATTATTTTAAAATAGTATTAGTTTTTACTAATGATTTCTGTTGATTCCTGAATCTTCAATGTTTTTGATAAGTAATTGATAAACGTGTTTATTATGAATCAGGACAATACTACAAGCCTACTGAAGTACCCACAGTTTTTACAGTGGGAAAAGTTGAATTTTCTTTTAGCACCACCAAAAGCACCATTGATTGTGCATTTGACTTACAGAAGACAGGCCAAACTAAAAAAAAGCATCTAGAACAAGCAGAAAAATTTACCAGGGAAGACAAACAGTGTCAGTTGATGTTTCACAGCGTTGTGTTTTCCTGATTTTAATGACGGCTGTTTTTTTTTTTGTTTTGTTTTTTTTGTTTTTTTTTCAGGCATTTGATACACCTGAGGAGCTAAAAGCTAAGGTGGAGACACTGGCTCAGCTGATCAGAGATTCGCAGTACATGGTGGTGCATTCAGGGGCGGGAATCAGCACTTCTGTAGGCATTCCTGACTTCAGGTAACCACCAAAACACTTTTCTTTACTTTACAAAAGAAGTGAGGGAGAATGAGATGGTACTGCTGGTGTTGTAGCAGTCAAAGAGTAAAAAAGCATGCAAAAGTTTACTGAGCAAAAGCAGAGGAAAAAACACACAGTGAGTTTTAAATAGGTGGACAATGATTGCTTGATGACTGTAATGTTTGACTGTAGTGTATGTACGTTTGTCGTGTCTTACTAGTTTTGATGAATAAGAAAAAAAACTGCTTGGGAGAGTCATCACAAAAGTTAATGTCTGAAGTATGCAATATAACATTTAGAATAGCCAGAGGCAATTTGGAAATAAGTGTTCTGGATTGAGGTGAAAGTAAAAATGGAGCACTTTATTTGCAATCACCAAAGGTATGTTTAGAGGAAAACAAGGAGCAGCATTTGATTAAAGGAACACCTTGCTTACTGTTAAGCATGAGGGTGGTTCTATTGTGGTTTGGGGAAACATTTCACAGGCAAATGGAAAAATGGATTCCCCTAAATATGAATAAAGTCAGGAACAGATGTGACACTAGTTCAGTCAAGAAATTAAAGCTGAAAAGGGGCTTTCTACAGCAGGACAATGGTTCAAAACCTCAAAGTCCACCGTGAGTTACATCATAAACTCAAGCTAGAGCTGTTGGAATCCCCTGACTTGAAAATCTATGGCTACAAAAAGTCTACACTGATGATGCTTGGATACATTTTATGTCCATATTATGCAGTCCTACTATAAAGAATATTTTAAGCCTGATGTTGTGATTGACATCCATTTAACTATGACAAATTAGATTATGCAACTAGAAGAAAAAAGTATAAAACTGCTTGAAGAGATAAGATAGTAGCACAGCGAGCAGAGGGAAGGGTAATGAAGCCAAAACTAACAAAACCTGCATTATTTAAGGGAGTTTCAAGGAGAAACTGAAAAATAAATTGATGTTTCATGCATTAATGTCTCAATTCCAAGACAGTGATGCAACTGTCAAGTCTAGCGAGTAACTGCAGTGCATTGCACTAATAAATGGACAGGATGGAAAATTTCTGGTGAAGAAAATTCTGTTTCTTCTTGGTAAAGTTGACCAACATTGTTCTAAATAGTGAATGACTTTTATTTATTTATGCTAATTTATAATTGTTGTTATTTTAGTTGTTTATGCACTGAATTGCACGGTGCAAAACAGAAAATGAGATTATGGCAGATTTAAGTCTTGTTTGAATTTTCTTTGCCTAATTCTATGTTTCAGTTAACTATCTTTTAGCATATATATATATATATATATATATATATATAATATATATATGCCATGAATTTACATCATGTTACTGGTTGAACATGTCATTTTGGTTTAAACAAGATTCCGCTCTGGGAAACTGTTATTAAGACTCTGCTGCAGCTACAGAAAATTCTCACTAGAGGGAGATAGAGAGCTTTGCTTTGACACCACCTGAACAAAACATCCATAGCTCACAAATCTCATCTGTGAGAATGTCACTAGCTGTCTGAAATTATTGCTATGAGAAATGTAAATAAAATACATTTAAGTGAGTGTATTATTCTTGAATAACTTCAGGAATAACTTCATAAGAGTCAGAAGAGATGAGAAAAGTCTCTGAACTGTAATAGATCTGGGCTTTGAATTAGACCTGTCAGGCAACATTTAAACACTGATATGTCCCAGCTAAGGTGAACACACCTTGTGAGACTGGTTAGATTAAAGTCCACTTGGACTTTAATCTAACCAGGTGTTGTAAGGATTGACCTATCTATGCTAAGCCCACATATGCATTCTTTAATGACAGCTGTTGATATGCTGAACTAGGACTGGCCTGAATAATTTAAATGCTCAGATATGTTTATGTTGGTATTTAATTATTACCTTTTAGACCAGAATTCTAGAATAGACTTCTAAATACTCTTGTGGATCACTCACAATTATAAAACTGATAGTTCCAGTCCTAAAATTTGATTGGCTGAGCCGCATTCGAAGCCGTTTTAAAATACACAATATACGTGCCTAAGACCACCTCACAACGGCTGAACTCTGTATTACTGCAATGTCTCGAAAAAATTCTTGTGCTGTTAATGGAATAATCTTTGACTGTAATGCTGCCTGCAGGGAGCACCGAGTGTACTGATGAAGTAAGAACCCATTTTTTGTTTAAACTGATAGGCTGACAATTCATGTTCTTAACTAGAACTAAGCTGGGCAGCTAGCCAACAGGCTAAAAGATAGTTAATGGGCTAAACAACTCCAACATTAATATCCCAGGCTTCAGTTAAAGCACTTATGATGGACTGTAAAACTGCAGTATAAAAGTCTAAAGAATGTCACCTGAATGGATTACACGCTTCAAATGTGTGTGTTTCAGTCAGAAGTAGCATCATATCCAGGCTAAATCCCAAACGGCTCTGTACTCCCTAAATAGTGTGCCAGCTATGGAAGTTTAGAAATTCTAGCCTCTACAGCCAAGTAGTGCACTATTTGAGTATGGATGTGAGTCCCAAATGACTATTTTTTTAGCTATGTTTTGCACCGTTGGGATAGATCACTTTACAAATCCCAGAGGGGAAATTCTTCAAATGCATGCAGGATCCAGTATTTAATTTCCTATGTAGCGCCCTTGTAGGGAGCGGGGAGCTGCATGAGCTTCAGCCCCAGCGTGAGAGGAAGGGCGTCATTGGATTGGTGCTATATAAAACTTACGGTAGTAATTTGGTGACCAAAAAGTCCTTAGAAAGTAAAGGTTTTTGCATTAAACAGTGCTGCGTTATATGTTCATTGTTATATGACATAAGGTTATAAAGTTCGTGAAATTACTGCAATATACAGCGATAGGCGACCAAGCATTCTTCTCCTCATTCAGCAGGCCGTGGTTGCTTGGCATACCATACTACATTTCCTGGCGGAACACTTATGTTAATTTATGTTGATTTATTATTAATAATAACTTGTTGGCCGCTGTTTAATAAAAGCAATAAGCCACTTGAGGCAGAGCGTTACTACGATTTTATCACAAGGAAGGGTATTCTCAGGTTAGACGCAAATAGGGGTGCGGGAAAAAATTGATTCTTAGATGCATCGTGATACGGACGTGAACGATTCTGAATCGATTCACAGATGTCAAAAATAGATTTTCTAAATATTTAATTTATAACGTAATGCTGACGGAACGCAAAAGGCGGAACTTGGAAGTGGGTAAGTGCAGCGCCCGGACAGTCTGTGACGGCACACGAAAAACTACTGGATTAGTGAGAAATCCAACCGGCACCCTCTGCATTAAAAGCCAGGTTAGATCAGGAGTCACAACCCAAATGTTAAGAAGAGCCATTTTGTCCTTTCAACAAAAATCAAACCACCTTGGGAGCCACAACATTTAATGTCCAGTATTTGTCAGTATGTGCTGATGTCCTAGTATAGGCTAAACAATATAAACGAGAGCACAGATCTACTTTGCTCTGTTTTAAGCTTTAGCTTTAGCTGCTTTCCTCCCAATTCCGCCAGAAAACCTTTCCTGAAAACTAAAGCAGTTTCTTGTAAAATGTCTCTCAACATTCGACTGTCTTACGAGGCTGAAGTCACTTCTCATTCTCCAGCTTCTTGTTCGAATTTTCCCGTTCCACCTTAAATTCTGACTGAGGCGCCGAATGTAAATGCGGCACCATTTAAGGTGGAATGAGAAAATTCGGAAGAGAAGCGACTTCATCTTTGCGACTTTTTACTGTTTGACAGTCTCTCGTTGCGGATTTAACTTGCCAGGAAAACAACTGTACTGCTTATAAATGCGAATAACGCATCGTTGCTAAGTGACCTGCAGTCTGCATGGCAACTCTCAGTCGTTGCGAAACAGGGCTTTCGTGCAATGTTGCACACGTCCCGCCTCAAAGATATTTTACTGACACAGCGATTCCCCCTGTCTCTACAACAAGAGCAAAACCAAAGTTATAAAGTCACTATAAATGGGTAGGACGGGTGTAACGTGTGCTGCGTGGACATCCACTGCCACTGGATCTTATTTCACCGTAACTGTGCATTTTATCGCAGATGAGTGGCAGCAGCGTCTCATGTGCTCCAAAGGCAGTGAATGAGAGCCTTCCAGTTCACTTGCCACATCACTTCCATTTGATTTATTAATAAAAGATATTGGAAGTGAATTCATTATGGATTACAAATACTTTGCTTTAAAACTACCAAGTCCTCACACAGTGAGAAAATAGAAATGATGTATAGAAAAAAAAAGATGCATCGAGATGCATCAATAATCGTTTTATAATCGCATCACAGCCCTCTGAATCGTAATCGAATCGTGAGGTGCCTAAAGATTCCCACCCCTAGACGCAAAGCTGAGTTATCATAACCAGATAAGGTTAGCTAAAGGCTGAACACGGCCACACTCCTCCCCTTACAATTTCACACCCCTTTGAAAAACTGAAGCAAGACAAGTTAGTGGACGATAATAAAATAGCAAACCTTGTTTAATCAAAGAATTGTTCAGTCAAACTTCTGTGTTGAAGAAGCTATGCATGTCCTCAGTCACTCGTTTACCTGCCACAGAGCTGAGAGACGAAGATAAAGAGATAGCAGGATACAAAACATGATTATTTGTAAATCTGTAAGAATTTAGTATAGAATTTGAAATAACTTGCCAAGTCATCAATCATGGATGAGCTTTATGATCGTCTATTGAAGTTATTTCACTTGCAATGGAATTTACCTCTAAGTTAGCAGTGGAATATGAACTTGACTATCTATTCAGTAAAGCGGCTAAAGTGATGATGAAAACATGCTCGCTAAACTACGATTTTCAAAGACTTGTGTCTTGTATTTACATTTACATTTACAGCATTTAGCAGACGCTCTTATCCAGAGCGACTTACAAAAAGTGCTGTCGTCTACCTAGAGAAAGTATCTTTGCTAGTTACAAGTAGGTAAAAAAAAGGCTAGTCCTGAGCTCAGATATTGCTAGAAACAAAAGCCCATGTTGATACCTAG